TAACAATGTATACTTCAAAGGTTCAGTCACATTTACTATTATTCTGTGAATTTTCACTGACAAAATCAAGTCATTTCAATAGTAATCTATGTGGTGGGGAATTTTGCGCTAGGACGAAATATTTCCCCATGCAGATTTCACATTGGGTTCAACTGGTCATGCCAATTTGCTGTGTTTACTAAAAGAAAGTTGCTTGGTTTGAAAGTGACTTCTGTGAGCTGTGCTTCATACATTCATACTAATCATTTTAGATGTCATATAACAATACTTTTTTAAAAACTATATTTCCACTTTTATGTCAACATTTCTTTCATCTGCCAACTTGGTTAATTGTTGCAAGGCATTCGGAGATTGCCTTCTAACATGAATGATATGTGCAGTGCTGCCTTAGAATGAGGCCAAAATGAGGGATTGTATCTTTGAAAGAAGCATAATTATTGACTTTGTGTCAGGCATGGTTATGATGCTTTAAAATCTATTAAGCTTTGAAACAGGTTGAATGTCTGCCTGCAAGTATAATGAATAGGATACATGGCACTCACATAATCATATGCATGAAAGAGTGGAGTGATATTGGTCTTGCTGCCTATGTGCTCCAAATCGGTTACTTAATAGTATGCTGCCTTAGGTGCTGTTCACACAGAACAAGTTTCTGCATTTAAAAATGCAGGACAAAAAAAAACAAACAAAAAAAAAACCTGCGATGGGGTCAAGAGAGTGCAACGGTCAAACACATCCATCTATTCTAGTGCATGTTTACAGTGCCTTGAAATGCACAAAATGTGCTCTGTGTGAACAGCATCTTGGAAGGCAGCAGTCTAGGAAGTAGACAGCAAGGCAGCTTGCAAGCTTTTGGTCAATATTTTCTTTTGCCCATATTTGTTCATTTTCATATTATAACAACTTCAAAGCAGAAGGTTATAGCCTCTCAGTGGCATCTGGCCTTGTGTGTTTTACAGTATTCGAGGCACTAGAACCTTAAATGAGCAATTGAGGGACAAGTATTGTGTACTTTGATCTGATGGCTCTCACAGATGCAGTTAAAGAGGAGAGGCTCTAAAGACATTTCTTCTTCTCTCTTTTCCTCTTCCCCTGGTCATATTGATCTGCCAGTTATTGCTCACTCTGGGGCTCATTTCTGTCACGGTTGCATTCCCATTTTAGTAGCTTTTAAGCTCAGGCTTGGAAATATCTGTTGTCTTTCAATTTAGTCATGAACTTGCCTGGTCATATGTAAACTTTTGTTTTTCAAATGTGCACAAAAGCATGCATAAATGCTTTTTTCATAAATGCTTTTTATTTTTATTTTATTTTTTTTATTTTTTTGTAGGAGTTGATCTCCCTTATAAAAAGTATACTGGTGAGGATTCCTTGTGTGCAGGGCCGGATTTACCTCTTTTCGTGACATAGGCAAAACAAATCTTTGGGCTCCCCTTCCCTATTAATGTAATAGGCCTAATATTACACCAAAGCAAACCAAAATATTTCTTAATCAGTGAAATCGTTACAGTGTTTTCTATCGCAATAAGCACTTGCGTGCAGTCAATAAAAATCAAATGTAGTTCTTAATTTGTTTGAGAACTGCCCATTCCATTAATAGGTGCAGCATCGTGGCCACATAACCACTTCGGGAGTGCATTTTTTCTCTAATAATTTTAACGGCTTGGAGTCACAATCACACATCAATTGTTCAGATAATTTGTTTCAAGACATTTGACATGTTTCCGTCCTGAAATCTCGTGTGTGTTGAACTAATTTTTTACGCACCTCATCCCAAACCTTCCGTTGCAAATTCCAAAAAGTAATTTTAGAGCTAATAACAGAGGCTTGAGCCATTGATATGCAGGCTAACGCAGTTATTAATGCAGTCTAACGCAGTTATTAGAGAGAGAGAGAGAGCGAAAGAGAGAGAGGGAGATTAAGCGCGTGTGAATACGTGCGTCTGTGCGTCTC